TTGTTGCTGGAGTTGTTTCGCTGCCTCTGAGTAACTATAAAATCAATATTTCTTTTCGTCCTTTTTTTTTTTTGTTAAAAACTCAAGACGGTTTTTTTTTTTGATTCAGTATCAGTTTTTTTTCTCAAAAACAGAAAACTGTATGAAACTCATTATTAAGTAAAGATTTGCGAGTCAATAAAATAGAGCCTAGCATAGCTACTTCTAGCGATGGGAGCGCCTCAATAACATGACTAATATGGATCATCACGCTGATCTTCTGGTTATTTTAGTAATTTTCGCCAGATTGCGAAACTAGCACACAACAGTGGAGTATAGATATAATGAAAACGCGGAAGGGCACAGTTAAGCGTACATCAATACATATGGATGCGAGATGTGGGTTTTACTCCCGTAAAACGAAACAAGTCGACAGTGACGTAACTGTTAGTGGAGAGACGAATGTTGTGGATCAACAGATTACAGTATACTACCAATGATATTTTGCGATCACTCAGCTGGTGTGAAAAGATATAGTACAAGAAATCTATGCTTGGAAAAGAGGCTACTCGTTCTCTAAAGATGACAGACAACAGATGAACCAAACAAATATCGGTTGGTATCTATGACATGAAAAGTTGCTGAAGCACTAGGTCGATCTGCTAACCCGAATTTATGGCTTGCTAGGGATGCCAAGAGCTCAGATCCGAAGTTGGTGATGGTATGGTTGTCAACTACACTACTGGAACTTTGCTAATATGAATCAGTGGTGAACTAGTAATCAATCAACGAGTATTGAAAAATAATGGACAGCTTTTCGGTTCTCGAAGAAATGTTTTGAGTACGTGACGATGAGTGCTTGCCATGCACAGTTTGTCCCTCAAAATGAGTTTTTTTCTGAGGACTGCAAACAGGCCTTGGATCACTGAGTACTTCCTGGAGTGCTTCTATCATAGTTTCTGCGTCGATATGCTTTTTGTTCAGATAAACCCCGGTTTTTTTCCTCAGCGAAATGGCTGTGTTGTAGTGCTGGTCAGCAAACATCGGTACACAAATGAGTGGTGTTCCGGCAAATGCTGCTTCCGTGAGACTATTTAAACCGGCATGCGTTATGAATGCCTTCGTTTTTGGATGGTCTGTAACAGTTTTTGATTAAATGTGTCATTGACTCTGATCATTGGTAATTTCGGAGACAAAGTTATATGGAACTTAGAATCTCCTCAGTAATTCACTCATTTTGTGAGGTAAACACATGTAGAACTCAGAATCCACTTCACTGTTCACAGTATTTAGTGGGCGAAGACAGTAGAACTCGAAATGCTCTTTATAGTTCACTCCTTTGAAACTGAGGAACGAAGAAGTAGATTTAGTGATAACACTTGCTTATAGCAGTTTCTTGTCAGCTTGCTTATAGTAACTTCTCGATACCTCGTTGTTTCGAGGATTTCTTTAAAAGTAAGCTGAAGGCAGTCTCATAAAACAAATTGAGACTTCTGCTCATATTTCATTTTCTGTGAGAGTTGCAACGTTTGGAAGTAGCCCAAGTGGTAGCAGAATGCCAACAACAACCTCGCACCGCCAAGGATATTTATGTTTTTCTTTTTATAAGGTTGCTTGCAAGCTAGCTAATAGGTGTTTGTGGTTTTGGGGTGCGTACAAGTCATAGCTGGTAGTTAAAACATAAATAGGTGGATTGGGTTTCTCCGCCACGGAATCGAAAGCAACTCTCAGATTTTAAGATGTAAGGCAGTGTATCGCATCACTTGCTAAGTTCATAAGCAAGTTTCATAATTTTGTTATTAAAGTTTGATGCTACTAGACGCAGCCTTTGTCAAGGTCAGTAGATATTACAAGTAACGTAAACGGATCCTTTTTTGCAAATGAAATGGGGCTGTAGGGAACTGAACATCACATTTTCACTAATTCCCAATCCTTCAAATCGTGACGTGTTATCCATCACACTACCTGCCTTCATACTCCATTTAACATTCTCGCATATTTGTCACTCATACGCATACCAATCCCACGCTACAGTTTGTAATGCTATTATCTCAAGCAGTGCACGTTTTGCAGGTTCCTAAGGATTTTTCGCGGGTACCGATGATAACAGGACACACATCGGTCAAACGGTGGCGCACACTGGAACAAATCCAAAAAAGGAAAGTCAGGGTTACACAATTCTCCTTCCTCCTCGAAAAATTGGACATTTGTGAAAAAAACTTGTCGCTCTATTAAATTGTAAAACTTACGGAGAATATTGACCTGATCAATCCAGTCGAAGAAGTGCACATTGGGGTAAGATGATGCAAATTTCTCTCGTTCTTCATCACTTACTGTTAGTTTAACAACGAAATCATAGTCCGGAAAACGAGAGAATGCCAGTGACACGTCGTTTTTCATTTGTTTTGGCATTTTAACCGTATCAACAAGTGATCCAAGCGAAAAAACCACAACACCCTTACGCGCATTTTCATACAAATCCGTAAATCGCTGTAAATTTATTAACAGTTCGGATTTTGTGATCAATGAGAGACTAATTTATGCGACTTAACGGACCAAAACATTGCTTATGTAAACCATCTGTTATGCTAGAGGATAATGAGTTTTAAAGGGACCGATAACAATACAAGCACATTTGAATGTTAGAACAGTAAATATAAAATCGGTCTCGGTGCCTGTTAGTCATTCTCGTACTTCTATTCCTGTCCTTCATGAATATTTTAAGATATTTACGAGGCGGTGTCTTACTTAGATGCTGTCGACAAAAGAATGGTCTTAAATAGAATATGATAAATCACAACAAAGTAAGAATGAACGAACGGCTGGCTCCTCCAACGGATGCACAGAAGGAGAATGAAAGAAAACAACTGGGCCGATTATGGCTTGTCTCGGCGATTTGGACGGCAACAGCAGATTCGAATCCTCGGCAACTCGACGCAGTGTAGCACTAGGACAAATGATCAGGTGTGTGTGTTTATTTTTAGAATCCAAAAGAATTTCGGGAAGCAGCTTCTGGGGCGATCGATAAAAGCGCTTGTTCATAACCTAAGACAGCCAGAATTCAAGGGGTCCAGAGATACCACGGTAAGTTTAAACATCCCGCTCAAGAGTTACGTGATAGCAGCGGCGCGTTCCAGTTATATTTTTCTAAACACTGTTTTTTATTACTGCGTCACAGCGAATCTCATTCGGCAGCAAACACGTTCACAGAGGGCGAGTTACATTCGCTTTCCCAGTACGGTACCCTTTTTGGAAACAATGGTACCCGTTTGTCTTCTAGACTTTTTCCCATTTGGTCAAAATTAACATCTTTACCTTTTCCATCACTGTTACCTGCTTCTTAACAATACCTCCAATGAAAACAATTTTACTGGAAATAGGTCGTGCAATACCGATATTCGGTAAGGTGTTAACGAATGCAACAGATGCTTGTTGCGCCAGATGTCTTAGATCCGGAAAATCCTCGCGCACCATGCGCTTAAAGAGGGCGTTCTGAAAAAGTTTCGCTTTAGCCTGAAATCACTGCACTGATTATCAATAACATGAAATCGCTTTTGTTTATAAAAAGTCAACCGTGCCCGCTTTTTCGCAAGTAGTGGCCACTACGTGACGTTCAGCAGCAGGGTAGGCAAATTACGATGTAGTTTTATGAAAATAATTGAAAGAGATGTTGGAAATGTACCTGTGAATTATACATTTTTGGGAAAAATGCATAAAGTGTGTAGATTTTGTTGATCATATTGTAAATACGCTGTGAAAATGATAACTGCGGAGCGTTGGTAAATGAATTAAATATTGCTGCAATCTTAACTTGTATGATAATGATTAATAGCCAGCAAGCTGACCAATGGGCTGACTACCAGTGATGCGACATTGATCAAAGCAATTGAAAAAGTCGTCAGCTGTATTGATAGAAAAATCAGGCTGTGAAACACAACTTACCAAAGTACCACAAACATCAATGCCAGGAAAAGGGATCGTTCAACGGATAAGAGAGTCGACATAACTATTAGGGATGAACCAGGTTTCTATTTTAGCCATATACAACAAATCCTGGTTTTACATTGAAAAGAAATAAGATTAGATACTGAAACAAGATTTCTACCACATCAGTCAATATCAAATCGCCACCGTATCTCCTTATCATAAGAGACAAGTAGCTCCAGCGGTAGCAAGTACCAGAAGCAAACACAGCACTTTTTGGCAAGGCTATCGATGGTTCTATCGATGGTTTTAAAGCGTTTATAGAAAAAAACTGTTTGTGGATTTGACTCCCTGACATGCGCCAGTACCAGTTTGTCATCGAAATGAATAAACGAAATGTAGAAGGACTGTTTGTCCTACATGGGGAGCCGAACCTCTTGCCTTTGTGTATCGTATTGTATTGTAATTACGGTGGCATACCGGCTACGTAACTTGGCGGTGATGGAAATCCCCATGTTTCAGCAAGCAAGTCATTAATTGAGATAGCGGATAGAAGTGCAGTTGATTTGATTCCGATCAATTCGAATAGCCCACATGGGCATAGTTCGTATATTTCGGTAAGTCCTAAATCATATTGATCCGCTCGAAGCTCATCGATCAGGAGCTTGTTCGATAAAAATTCTGAAAAATAATTGGCCAACGCACTGGCTGCCCGTGCGAAGATGCGTTTTTTGCATGGTTCCACGCAGTTTCTGTTGCTACGGGCACCGGATTTTTCGGCAAATGCTTCTAGCTAAACAAATTAAGACTGGCCATCAGAACTGTCAGAAAACATT